GCTCTATAGTGTATCTATATCTGCTAGATAGTCTGTAGTGTAATGTTTGATATATTAGGGTGCAGGGATGCATCCTTGGCCTATGAGTACATTTCTGAAGGGACAGAATGGAATTTATTACAGGCATGATGCTTTCAGGTAACCTCTTACCTCAGAGATTGAGCATCTGTGGACTACTCGATGAGTGGCATACATATGAATCCCTGCATCTTGAGAACATTTTTCTAAAATATTGATCATAAAATTACAATAAATTAAACTTACTAAATACTCTTGGAAAGATACCATTTGCAGGTTTTCATGAAAATATACCTGGCTTAATGATAGCTTGAATTGTGTTCATATTCCAAATCTATAATTTCTTTTGTTAATCAAAAAAATTGGCCGGGCGCGGTGGCTCACACCTGTAATCCCAGCACTTTGGGAGGCTGAGGCGGGCGGATCACGAGGTCAGGAGTTTGAGACCAGCCTGACCAACATGGTGAAACCCCGTCTCTACTAAAAATACAAAAATTAGCCAGGCGTGGTGGTGTGCCTGTAATCCCAGCTGCTCAGGAGGCTGAGGCAGGAGAATGGCTTGAACCTAGGAGATTGCAGTGAGCTGAGATCGCACCATTGCACTCCAGCCTAGGAGACAGAGTGAGACTCTATCCAAAAAAAAAAAAAAAAGTGACCCAAGAAATGACAATCTGTATGCATCTTGAGAAGAGGAATAGAAGCTAGGAGTTGTTGAATGGTCACTTATGCTAAATACTTTGGATGCATCATAGCATTTAATCCTCATGGCAGCCCTTGAAGTATCCCCATTTTACAGGTGAGGAAACAAGGCTCAGGCGGATTTGTAACTTGCCAGCACCACAAAACTTGAAAGTGGCAGAGTCTGCAGTTAAAGTAGGCATCTGTCTAACTCAAACTAATTATGTAAGAATGGAAAAACAGTTAAATCCATTATGAAATGCTGTGCAGACACGGGTGTCATTGTATGGGGAAATGCTCAGCTCGGCGGGCAAGGGCATGGTATAAAACTGTAGAACACCATAATTGTTAAGAATGTGTGCATGGACCAGGTAAGAATAGAGACAAATGAAAAGTTTAACTTGTGACAGAATTTGTTTTAGTATATGTGCTGCCGAAGCGAACACCAGAATTTGTTTAAATAAGTATTATTTTGAAATTGCCTTATTTTTTAAAAAAGAAACTTATTTTTTGTCAAAAAGTATGTACTGTAACATATTCATACTGTATATTCAAATGTATTATTCATACCCCTACATATTTCTACGTGGCATATTAGCTGTTCTTTCATGTCTAGATTTATCCTCTGTGTTCTCCTTATCACCTTCCTCTTAACTCCTGAAAACTCCTCCCTCATGGTCCGTCACCAGCAAAACGTCTATATCCTTAAAGCCTCCTCTGAAATTACTTTTATCTTGTTAAACCCGAACTTGGATATTCCCTGAGAGAAGCCCTTTCAGGTTACAGCTCTATTTTTTGCCCCAAAGTAGAGGAGTATAAATGGTCTCTTTATTCTTCCTCATCACCTTTACCATTCCACTTCACAATTCCCTAAAACTCTATGCTTTAAACCACTTGTCCACCAGGCTTTAAACCTCTTATTCATCAGACTGTATCACCCACTACCCCATCATTGTTAGTTACCTACTAAGCCTAGGATTCTGTCCTCACTGTGACATCATTTTAGTTCCTGGCTCACTGTTATTCTCTCCAGAAATACTTCTCTCCTTATCAAGGAGGATTTTCCTTGGAAATATGATCCTTTTAATACCCCTGGGTTTCTCAGTCCTTTAGCTGTTTGCCATCTCAGCCTTTAGCAGACATCATCACCTTAGACCACATCATCACCAACAACTCCATCATTCCATTTTCTCAACTGCATACACTGACTTCTCTCCTCTGCATGGCTTTTGCGCTCACTCCCTCTAGGGTTCAAAACTCAATTCCATCAAAATCCATGATCCATTGATCCCATTACTTTTTTCCTGGACCCCCTTCCCTCCCACCCAGGATCTTGTGTCCATTTTATCCAGCTCAGGGTCCATGTTCAGATGGCATAATTGCTCCCTGTGACATCCTGACTCCTTTGCCCCTCTCACTTCTCATATTCACTTGGTAGTCTCAGCTCTGGCTGAATCCGAATCTCTGGCTACTTTGTACCAGCCTCTGTGCATCTGACTTTGGCTGGACAAAAACACAACCGTAGTCTGTGGTTTTACTTTTAATTAATGACCATGAACCTCAAGTAGGAACTTAAAAAATGCTGCCCAGCAATCATACTACGTTGTTCACTCTGATTGGACTTTTTAACAACCTTCTCCTCTTTCCTTAACCTTCTAACAACTCCTCTCTCAACCTTATTCTCAACCGATACCTTCCTTCCAACTTTGGCTGGAAAAATTAGAAGCTTCCAACAGCTTCCACTGCTGCATCTTTTGGGGCTGGAGATGAACGACCTGTGCTCCTGTCTGAAAGCAACTCCTCCATTTCAACATCAGATGCACCTTCTCTGCCTGCTCAAGGATTGGGTTCCAATCATTCCTCCTGTCATCATCTTGTCCCCCTCTGCTGGTCGTTCCCATCAGCATGCAAGCATGCTTGTTTCTTCTCCCATCATACTAAGGAAAATAAAAACATTCCCTACATCTCACTTCTGCTTCCTGTCAGTAGCCTCTGTTCCATCTCTCTTCTCTGTTTTATAGCAGAACTCCCAAAATATCATCTGGTGTCCGTTCTTATTATTTCTGGTTTCTCTCTTCCCAGGCTGCCTTCAATCCAGTTCAGCCAAGCCTTTGGCCTAGCTCTTGAAGTCTTCTGCTGCTGCTCTTGTTGAAGTCCTCAATTAAATACAAGTTGCTGAATCCTACAGTTTTCAATCCTCATTTCACTGTCCAGTAAGCAGCATTTGACATCCCCTCCCTGCTCATGGGAGGAATCAGATCACCTTGCTTCTTGGATGCACCCCTCTTGGTTTTCCTCTCACTCCCCTGGCCAGTCCTTCTCAGTCTCCCAGGATTCAAACCTTAGACCTCTTCTCTGTCCACACTCAAGCCCATGGTCATCATCATCAAAATGTCATGGCTTCAAATAGCATCTGTGTGCTGATGAATGCCAGATTTATTCTTTCCAGCCAGACTTCTCTCCTGACCACTACACTTCTGTGTCTATCTAAGAACTTTTTGAACATCTCTGTTTGCATGTCCAATAGACATCTCAGACTTACCTGTCCTGACTGAACCCCTGATGCTCCCTTCACCCTCCAAAGCTGCCCCGTCTCAGTCAATGTCAGCTCTGTTCAGAGTTGTTCAGGCCGGAATCCTCACACTTTGTTACCACTTCCCAGCCCCTCCCATGTCATACCCAAATTATTGTAGGAGCCTTCTACCTGGTGTCGTCTTCCTCTGTGCCTTGCACCTTTATGATCTTCTCAACATGCCAGCTAGAGGGATCCTTCTGTAGCATTGGTTAGATCACCTCCTCTCTGCTCAAATCCCCATTCCACTCAGGTGAAGAGTGCAACTCTTTAAAGGCCGTATACAGTCTGCCTACCTGCTACTGCTCTTTCTTTTCCCTCTTCCCTTATCCCACTCCAGCCATAGTGGCAGTACGCCAGGCAGGCACCCCACCCACCTGAGAGTCTTTGGGCAGACTGTTGCCTAGTCTTAGAATTCTGAGACCTCTACCTGCAACTACCAAGCACTACCCTCCCTCACCTACACCAAAGGTCACCGTCTCAGCAACACTGACTGTTCTCCCTGCGCTCTCCATCCCCCACACCCTGCCCTAAATTTAATAGCACTTCTCACCTTCTACCATGGTATACTCTTACTCGTGTATTATAGTATCCATCTCCTGCTGGAATGTAAGCTTTGGGAGAACAGAGATTTGTGTTAATTCCATTAATTGATGGATCTCCAGCATCTAGAATAATGTCTTCACCTAGTAGATGCTAAAAAAATTGTGTTGAGATTATGAATGAAAGCTTTCCTGTTTCTGCCTGAGAGATCTGCCCCATGATAGCTTTTAATTCCTTTTATGTTTCTGAAGTATTACATTATAGCCAGGATTCAGAAAACAACTACTAAGAAACACTGTATCCCTGACATGGTTGCGTATGGTCTTGATTCCAAACTGAAAACCCTTCTTCTCAAATGCTGCAGCAGGGTCACAGATACTGAAAATGTAAACAACATGATAGATCCTTGATATTTTAGGAATATGTTCAAAGTTCTTCATAAATCCTGTGAATTGTGGAGACCGTGATATGGCCTACTCGCATGATTTTCATATATAGCAGTAAAAGGAAAGAAAGGAGCCACGTGGAGCTCCAGAGGCTGAGTGGCCGGTGGGCTCAGTGGTTGGGAGGAAGCTCACCAGACAGCTGTCTGCTGCTGCTCCATGCTTCTGCCTCAGCAGCATCACACATTACAGCAGCTCATGAGCCCTAGACATGACCTGCATATTGTTGTAACCAAGAATATGAGTTATGTGAAAGCCAGGAATCCATTATATCGTTTTGTTCTATTTGCAAAAAAAAATGTAAATACTAATTTTAAAAACTTAGCTCTCCCAGGCTTCTAAGACTTGGTTTTGGAATGTAAATGTGTGGTTCTTATTACAACTAATGGGCAAGGTAACTTCAATGTTTAACTTACTGTTAGAAACAACCATTTATAACAAAGTGAGTTTTCACTTTGAAATCAAACAGCAAGTAAGCATTCATTCAGTTTGATTTTGGACATCTGGGAATAAACTCTAAACGTAAACAAAAAGAATGCAGTTTATTTTCATTTTAAAGCTGATTTTAAAATCTCTCTACCTTCTAGTTTGATGGAACCTACCATAATGCCTTTTGTAAAAAAATTAATGATGAACAGGAATCTTTGACAAGGAAGGGCTGGACTAAAGAGAGAGGATGCTGTTGCCATGGTAACAGCAGTCCAGCATAAACATCTTAGATCTCTTCTGTTTATCATGTGTTTTAGGGCAATTCAAGCTGCTGGAACAAGACCGAGATATAAAGGAGCCAGTGCAATATTTCAACAGTGTGGAGGAGGTGGCTAAGGCATTTCCTGAACGCGTGTACGTCATGGAGGATATCACATTCAACGTGAAGGTAGCTCTTGAAGCACCAAATATTTACATTCACTAAAGATAATTTAACTTTCAAGTCTGGATGTACACAGTAAGTGTTCATCTGTGTCTCCCAGGAGAGTTTCACCTTCCTAATGGGTTAGTGGCAGTAGCCAAAAACCACGTATATTGTAGCTGCCCTGACTCCCTGACTGCTTCTGTATTTATTAGCATTATCTTTTGTTAGAATTTAAAACTGATATCTGAGTTCAAAACTGTAGCTGTTGAGGCAGATAAGTGATATTTTTTTTTAAATTTGGACTTCATTTCCTAATATGTATCAGTGTTTAGCCAGATCTCCACTTCTGGGAGCAAAAGGGATATGATGAAACTAAAGAATACCAAGCACTTACTTTAAAAAGAAAGAAAGAAAGAAATACAGGGAAAGAATAGGTGTCTAAGCATTGCTTGAAGTCAGCATGTATTCATTCCATTTTTTGCGGACTATCTATTTCACTATACACAAAGAAAACTGATGTCGCCCAGAGAAAAGCTATATAGTGTTTGCTGTGCTCCATTTGTTCTGCATTCTTAAAGGGACAGTACAGTCCCCGTCCAGATGTTGAGCGAGGTTCTTTGACTAGCCTTGCTGCTGAAGAGGGACTGACCAGAGAAGCAAGCCACCAACCAGGCCCATCGTGTTGCCTGCAAATCCTCTACGTTTTCTCCAGCAATACCCACAGTTATAAAACACTTTAGAAAGTGTTCACATTGAAGGGGTTTTCTCCTTAATGTCATTTCAGCCCAAAGTCCACCTAAATCACATTCTCGGAACATTTCAAGGTTTAGCGGGGCAAGATTCCTGTTTCTTAGAAATCCACTCTATGTGAAAAACAGACTACATGGTGTGTTGTTGGCCCAAGAATGCAGCAGTGTCTTTGTGGATGAGTCACTCCACCCACACTCTTCAGGAAAGGGAGGAGATGTCCAGAACAGCCCCTTATTGGAGAAATGGTTCTGCCCATTTCATTGTCTAAGCTAAGTCATTTCTTCTTCCAGTTCTCAAATACAGCTGCTTTGGTCTACGCTCTTTTAGTTTTATTATTAAGATGAGTGAGATTTTATATTTTGTAAAAATCTTTACTAAGTAAATTATGCTTACATACAAAAATATTTATCATTTTTAACTTTTTCAGTGGCCCTAGTATATGAGCGGTCAAGACAGCTTGCATTTGTTTACAGTGAAAACTTGTGCAAACATGTTCATTTTTAAACATACCTAGACTCATTGGTCAGAAGTTAAATCCTATTCCTTTAGTGTTTTGATATGATTTAAATTTCTCCCTAAAACATATTTAGAATTCTCTAAATGAAAAAAAGAAGTTTTTTTTAGAAAGGAAAGTTAGTAGTTTTAAACTCCTTTCTAGAAAAATATTTCATTTGCTAATAAACAATAAGAAATCAAATGTAAATTTTAAAGTGATTTTTAAAGATTTTCTCCAGTATTAAAATGCAGCATTTCCATCTTTGGTCACATATTGCTCATGTATACTGTTTTTTAAAAATGCCTTTAGCAACTTTTCTTGGTGAATTTGTATTAAATCAGGAATGACTGAGAGGATAATACTGAAATTTATACATTTTGTTAGAGTTCTTTTTTAAATATAGAGTACCATGACTGAATGTATTCATTAAAATGTGTTTGATAGAGAATATCATTTAAGAGTTCAAAGGCACAGTTAAGTGTGTGAAATGTGAGCTTATAGCATCCATAAAACTAATTGGATTTGGGTTGAGTTCCGTGCTGTGCAAACATAAATATTTAATATTTCTAGTCTGTTACTTATGGAGTTTTAAGGTGCCATCACCTCTAGCTTGCATGAGTCATTTATTCAATTCTGTTCAAAGAAGGATTGTTATAGGAACCTCAGGAAATTTACATAAAGATATACACAAAAGGTTTTGTGCTTAGTGATAAACACACAAGTAAATAAATAAACTAAGGATAGTTATCGAAAAGTTTGTCTGGATACTACCTGGACCAAAAATAAAGGCTGGAAGTCATGGTCTTCTTTAATTAAAAATAGACTGGATTAAGCCAGGGCATGGTGGCTCATGACTATAATCCCAGCACTTTGGGAAGCTGAGGCGGTTGGATCACCTGAGGTCAGAAGTTCGAGACGAGCCTGACCAACGTGAAACTCCATCTCTACTAAAAATACAAAAATTAGCTGGGCTGGTGGCGCACACCTGTAATCCCAGCTACTTGTGGGGGTGCTGAGACAGGAGAATCGCTTGAACCCAAGAGGCAGGGATTGCGGGGAGCTGAGATCGCACCACTGCACTTCAGCCTGGGTGACTGAGTGAGACTCTGTCTCAAAAAAAAAAAAAAAGACTGGATTATTGTCTGTGTGAGAACTAAGAACTAAGCAGGGGAGGAGTTAAAGAAATGGGATTTTGGTTATTCTGATGGAGAAGGTAGGAAAAATTTAAAAACAATACTCTTTACTCATAAATGTAGCTATTATCCAAGAAGCAGTTTTTTAAAGAAAGATTTCAAACCTCCTTAGAAGATTTCACCCTCTGTCCTCTACTTCAGATACAGCATAAATTAAACCAAAAGGATAAACCACTGAGAAAAGCACTTGCAGTTAAAAATTGATAGTTATCTGGCATCATGATAGTCAAAAGACATAATTATTATTAGAAATAAATATACATATGTATTTTGATATATGTATTTGCAAGTCCAAACTGAAATTAATCATAATGAGAATATAAAATAAAGCAAAAGTATTGAAAGAATGGGAACTCTAGTTCTGGGTTTCTTCCCAAACTGTAGCAAAATTTAAACTTCAAATTTTAAATGTACTGGCGAATACTAGTACTATTTATACATTTGTTTAAAAATGAAACGTTATTTTTAATTTGGAACTAAAATTTGTCTTTAAAAGATACCTTGATGTGTTGAAAACTACCTGCTTGATTGCCCCCATCATTGATTAACTGCATGAAATGAATTCATATGTATTAAGTGTTTAATTCTTTAACCAGCACATATATTTTGAGCACCTACTATATGCCCAGCACTACTCCAGGCACTGGGGCTGAATGGTGAATATGCAAGTCCCTCACTGCATGGAAATTAGTCTAGTAGGGGAGGTAGAAGATAAATACATAAACAAGCATTAATACTATCTCCAAGTGGAGATACCAAGAATCAGTTGGATCTGCAGGCCAGGAGCTTAGATAATAGGCTCAGAATATATAGCTGGGACTCATCATCTTCTGGAAGACATTTGAAGCCACGGGTCTAGTTGATTTTACCTATACCAGTGGTTCTCAACCAGGAGTGACTTTGTACCTCAGGGGACATTGGCAGTGTCTGTACACAGTTTTGATTGTCATGACTGCGGGGTGGAGGATGTTACTGTTATCTAGTGGGTAGAAGGTGGGGTTGCTGCTAAACGTTCTGTAATGCACAGGACAGGCTCTCATAACAAAGGATTATCCAACCCAAAATGTCAGTAGTGCCAAGGTTGAGAAGCATTAACCTACGGGACAAGATTAAAAGGAGAAGAGCTCTGAGGACTGAGCCCTGGAGTACCCCAGCAGTTAGGGGTCTAGAAGAGAAGACTGGATGGGATAGCAGTGAGGTAGGAGGATGGCTGGGAGCATATTGTGTCCCAGAAGCCAAGATTCAAGAAGGAATGAGCAACTGTGTCAAATGCTACTTAGTAATTGAATTAGATGAGGACTGAGAACTAACCATAAAATTTAGCAAAATGTGAAGGTCATTGGTGGCCTTGATAGGAAGCAAATAATAATCAGCTCTGAGACTGGAAAGTGAGTTAACCAGGACAGTACAGTGGGGTGGTCCTAGAGTTTTGTCAAGGTAAGTTTCAAGTGAGATTACTCAGCACCACCCTTTCTTTCTTGCAGCCATTTTCAGCTCCCTCGATGCAGGTATAAAGTAGAAGAGGAGCTGAGTTTAATCAGAGTTGAGGTTCTCCCAGTGAATATAGCAGAGATCAGAAAAGATGTTGATGGAGTGTTCCCTAGAGTGAGTGACAGGTCGCACTGAGCCATGGAATCCTCTCTGGGGGCTGGGTGCAGTGGCTCATGCTTGCAGTCCCAGCATTTTGGGAGGCCAAGGCGGATGGATCACTTGAGGTCAGGAGTTCGAGACCTGCCTGGCCAATGGTGAAACCCAGTCTCTACTAAAAATACAAAAATTAGTTGGGCATGGTGGTGCCCGCCTGTAATCCCAGTTACTCGGGAGGCTGAGGCAGGAGAATTACTTGAACCTGGGTGGCAGAGGTTGCAGTGAGCCGAGATTGCACCACTGTACTCCAGCCTGGGTGACAGAGTGAGACTCCATCTCAAAAAACAACAAAAAAAGAAGAATCGCTACTGGCTAACCAAGTGTGAATAGAAGTGTAGCCCCAATGAAAATTGGACTTATGAGATAGATATGTTTGAGAAAATGAGATGCGAAATAGGAGGTGGTGGTAGAGTATAAAACTCTTGAAATTTAACTTTAGGCAGTGAGGTCAGTAATGACAGGAGTAGCTCTATTTTCCAATCTAAGTATGTCAATTTGAGTGAGCAGCTGAGGTAGTAGAAACAGAAAATGGAGATGAGAGAGTCAAGAAAATAAAAGGCTATGTGGGCAGGGTACCTCTCACTGATCATTTGTTTATATCTCCTCTAATCCCTGCAAAGCTAAAGGAATTCCATGTTTTGGGAATAGCAGTCACCTGTCTCTTTCACATTTTTTTTCTTTATCCATCTGGTTTTTAGTTTTCAGGGTAAGAATACTGTTTTTGTTTACTTGCTTTCCTGCATATTTGTGGGGTTTTTTTTTAACTGTAATAGGCTTTTTCTCTCTTATCTCTCTTCGTTTTTTCATTAACCACCTTTCTTCTCATGTTTACTTCCAAAGTCAGAAAATGTCCTCTTTCTGAGTTGCCCATTCCAACTGAAGGCTCATACCCCTCCTTTTAATAATAAAAACAGCTGCACTAACAATTTTCAAGCCAT